TATAACACGTGTCGTTTCTATCGAGTTTATAGTCATGGATTTTCCTTACATTTCAACTAAAACAACTGAAAAAATACATAAATAATAAACTACATTATGTTTGTGAAACGTATTATTTCGCCGAATGAGTATTATCTAAACATATTGTTGTGAAACTCCCTTTCCATGCATAGTAAAATGATCATTTCTGTCTGAAACTCGTATCATTGTAAGTGTTGTAGAAATGAATTGTGAGGTAAAAAGTCCTTCTGTATGATACACAGTACCTACATAAGGATTTTGTAAAAGCAGAATACTAAGGCGAAAAATATAAAAAGAGCTGTAACATAATTATAGATAGATAACTTAATGTTTTCAAGAGGATGGTTGACTGTTTACGTGATCGAAAGACTAGCTACTGCCTTGGGCAAAGGTTAAACATTGCCATTCAACGTGGCACTGCTGCCAGTCTTTTGGGCACCCTACTTCATGAAAGCGATGAGGAAAATTTTTTGATGTCTTAAGCTAACATTTTGTTTGAGGTAATTATAAGTAAACATTTTAGTTATTTGTATTTATAATATTAATGTTACTATGTTTTCATAAAGTAGCCGTAGATTTCCACAAAACCAAACCATTTCGTCGTGTGTGTGAGTCCAATTACCCTCCTCCCCTTCCCCTATCTCCCCAATCCCTGAATCCCCAACAATCCTTAAATTCCTAATCCCCAAAAGTCCGATAATGTACTTGTATCGTTTCTGGTGTTGCAGGTGTCCAAGGGCGACGCCGATTGCTTACCATAAAGTGATCCATCTGCTCGTTTACCATATCCCATAAACAAAAAGAAAAACCAAGACTTACGGATCGAAGAAGTTAAATTAACTTATGTTAACCATGTTTTCAATTACCGATTAATTTTCAGTTACACCCTAACTGTGGAGTTCTGAACAATGTTTAAGTTAGGTGCATCTCAAGTATAGCTTGGAGCTACCGACTTAGGTGCTGAGTTTGCAGATCAAATTTTGCATAAAGTTTACCTTGTAGTAGGTCGTGTAATAGACCGCACAGTTAGGGCCGTAAGTGATGACATGAGATTATACGGTTAGACGGTTTTCATGTTAAACAATAGAAATTACAATTTTGTACACAACACCGGATCAAACTGGTTTATTTAAGCTGATGCATGTATGTTTGTTCGCGATTATCTGTGATTAAGAGACTGCCTCGTTGGCCGAGTGGTAGCAAGTGCCACTGCCAGGCAAGGGGTCTCGGGTTCGATTCCCGTGTCGGGCAAAGTAACAGTGGATTTTTAAAAAAAAATCTCAGTAGTAGCACTGAGTCTTGGAATGTACCCGGTATATGGCAATAGGCTCACCCCCTATTACATGGGACTCATAACATAAATAAAAGTGGGTGTTACTTCTGTGTGCACCTCTGCCTACCCCTTCGGGGATAAAAAATGGTGATGCTGATCTCGTGATTAACTGAACTGATTTTGATGCGGATTATAGAAAAGTGTTCTTGTACTTAGGAGCAGATTTTGGTACAATAACCGACTTCAATTTTTTATTAAACTTCCCATTCTAGTTAGGTATCAAGATTGTCTCATTAGTTGGGTGTTCGTTAGTGTGACTGTCAGTATGTAGATACTAGGCTTTATTCCTATATACATGTAAGAGATTTCAGTTTTCCAAAACTTTCCTAGTAATAATATGGGGTTTAGGAATTGTGCATGGAGTGTGGGAATAGGCACACTCTTATTACACGGGACTCATAATATAATAATTTACATATATTTATTTTAAATTCTCTATAAAATACATTTTTAAATACTATTTACAAAAACATAAAAATAATATTTAAAAATATAAAAAATAGGAGCCGACCAGTAGCGGGAGCATGGTCCAAGCTACCGGTGGTTAGGGCTCCAGAGACAGAAACCTCCTCACGATACGTGCCGTTTCAAGGAGCACTGCCTTCTGTATCAGGCCCTTGACCCAACTACCTAACGCTAGCCTCCTAAGGTGGTTGTCGAGGCTATTAGGTATTAACCCATTGGCCGATACGACTATCGGCACAATGATAGCCGAATCTACATTCCACATGTCGACAACCTCGTGAGCCAAATCAAGATATTTGATTTGTTTATCTTTTTCAGCTTTCACGAGGTTCTCATCATGAGGAATAGTGATATCGATTATCATCGTGCGGCGTAGTTGTCGGTCTATCACCACTATATCAGGTTTGTTGGCTATAATTATTATTATAAGTATTATTTATAACTATTGAAAAGTGAATACACTGCAGGCATTTTTTTTTTAAGGGGGGAAAATCATCGAATGTCTCCCGCCTGGGTGAGGCGGAAGGGCGTGTCAGACTCTTACTGACTAAAAACCACCCCGTTCCTTCTCCTGCACGTCGAGCCGCAGCCCCGGTTACCCGTTAGGTTACACTGCAGGCATAAGTCACGTACTGAGAAGTAGTAAATTAAAATCACAATCCAGTATGTCCAATAATTTCATGTTCTAGTAATTTGGAAAATAGTTTAAGTAGAAATAGCGTTAGTGCAAAACGGTCGTGAGTCCAACTAACCTATTTTGCTCAGTTGACTGTCACAGCTTGTAAACGACACACAGCCGGTACAGTTCGCCATTTTGTGTTTTGTATATTCTCAGAAATTATTACAAAACTATTTACGACTAGCGAACTAAAATATTAAAGTTGTATACCGAACTTGTTTAATAAATTGTAAGTATTTGATGTTATTGGTTTTTGTTTGCACTTGTATTATGACATTTTTCCTACCAATAGACCTAAAACTTGTAATTGAAATCAAAAGCTAGCAACAAAGGATTTCTTTGCCAATATTCATAAAAGGTGAAAGGAGGAAGTAAAATTGTTTTGCAATAGTATATATTTGGTACATTCACTACGCAGGATTTTGAAAAAACCTTATTATTATTTATTTTCAGCCATGATTGTCCCACTGCAGTACAAAGGCCTCCCATCCTCCTTTCACTCCTCTCTATGTAAAGCTTTTTGCTTTTTGCGGCCAATCCTTGCCATAGAAGTCCAATTCCTTTTGGGCCAACGCAAATTAAACACCACGCTGTGCTTCACGACTAAAATTGTTGACGTTGGTCATAAAGCCCCAGGCTTGAAGTGGAACTGAGCTGGTCATGTTGGCTACGTGTCAGACGAGCGGTGGGTAAATCTTACAAAGTGGAGCCCGCTCAACGTCAATAGACGTCGCGGCAAGCCCAAAAGGAGAAAACATAAACCTTAGTAACGTAATAATTTTGGTGATACAAGTGCTTCATTGAACTTTAATTGACTTTTTTACTGACAAATCCGATCTGACATTGTGTCCCTATTTTGATGATATAACTAATAGCTTAGTTGTAAAATCTGTAACATATCCCCAAAAGGTAAGGCACTTATAACAAATTTGGTATTCCGGGTGTCCATGGGCGACGCCGATTGCTTACCATTAAGTGATGCGTCTGCTCGTTTGTATTATATAAAAAGAAAAAAAAACACTGCCAACGGCACTCGCAACTCCTCAATGTTACGTGTGTTGATAGAAGGAGTTGATCACTTACCATCAGCTGCTCATTTGCTCCTATTACATAATAAAACTAAAATTTCTTCAAATAGCTCTTTACTAGATAACGTATTACTTTTACCGTCTTAAAAACTGTAGAGGTCTCAATTGTGTACTCTTCCAAGCATCTAAGTACTGAGGGCTAACTTCGAGCTAGTTCTAGGAAGTTGTTCTAGTTGCCTCAAGCTTGCTCTTGTGGTATATTTTACAACTCCTAATTGGATGAACTTTAATTCCACTTTTTATAGTTGATTTAATGGTCAATATAAATCCTTTTTTTGAAATTTAGATTTTTAGAAGGTGTTTTTAACTTCTCATTGACTGCCTCATTGGCCGAGTGGTCGCAAGTGCGACTGCCGGGCAAGGGGTCTCGGGTTCGATTCCCGGGTCGGGCAAAGTATTACTGGGGTTTTTTAAAAATCTCAGTAGTAGCACGGAGTCTGGAAATGTGCCCGGTATATGGCAATAGGCTCACCCCCTATTACATGGGACTCATAACATAAATAGTGAAAAGTGGGTGTTACTTCTATGTGCACCTCTGCCTACCCCTTCGGGGATAAAAGGCGTGATGTTATGTTATGTTATGCTTTTAACTTCTTTCTCGGAGTAAAAATGTTCATTTTACATAATATAGATTTTTACGTACATTTAAACCATTTAGTCATGTAGTACGTATTTATTGTCAGTGCTTGTGCCAGTGACAATAAATATCTTTAGCAAACTAGGTACATTATAATTATTCACTTGTGACAAACTTATTGTCATCCTAATTAAACGGCAATTATTATATTTAATTCATAGATTCATTAAAACCTACAAAAACATTGAAAAACCAATTCCAGGAAACTCATTACGTCATCAAATATTATGAAATGGAAATATGAAATATTCATAATAATTTTGTTAAACGGAGCGCAAAAGAGTATGTTCGATACTATTAAAACATTGGGAGGCCTAAACACACAAACGATTTAAATAAAGCCAGTCCTCCTCTCAGGCGGTTTGATGCGCGTCGTAAATTGGGGACGAATGGATTTTATATATCTGACCGCGACCCCACGTTATTTTAAGGTTACATTGGAAAGTTTGGCGAGCCCCGCACGAGTGTGTATGGGATCTGAAAGTTTAATAAACTACGCATTGGTTGTGGTCTGATAAGGATCTATTTGCTGAAATTATAATATCGTCGCCTTAGATAGAAAATCCTTCTATTTAAAGCGGTTTGCTTTTACTTAGAAAAACACAGCGAAGATTTCAAATGTATGAACTTTATTTTTTATTACATTTGTGTAAAAGTTTACAAAGCTCATGTTCTCAATTTAAATGAATGATGTATTGCAATTAACAAAATTAAAAAAAATCAGTTCTTTTTTTTATTGCTCCTGGATAATCTACTTAATCAAAAGCTACATTCCAATCAACTTCTCTTTTTCTTTTTATCTTCACCTTTCTTCTTGTTTTCACTTTTTGAACAGAACAGTGACTTGACAATACATTTTATAATTACAAGTCCAAGTATAATTAAAGCTAAAAGGTCTAAGTACAGTTTTTGATAAAGTGGAACATGAAGAGCTGGTGAACGCAGATGAGGAGCACCCTTGGTTTCTATGACATGCTCAATCCAGTGTACGAGGGTTTTACCAGGCTTTGTCTCCCGATGGTGGTAGATAAAGGATAATTCTTTAACCTTTTCACGGTATCTGTAGATTGAAACGAACAAAAATTATGAACAGGAATAGGTTTGAATATTTTCAGAACTTGTTTTATGTTTATACTCACTTAGGGTTTGACAAAATTTCTCGGATAGCTATATCCAGTTTTGCTGGTGTATCATATCCTAATGGGACTTCCAAAGCAAAACCTTTTCGGATTGCTCTTTTGACGTTTAGGAACTGGTCAGAGAATAACGGTATGCCAATAATAGGAACTCCATAGTGTATAGTTTCTGTTGTCGAAAGCAGACCACCGTGGGTGACGAATATTTTGGCGTTTGGATGCGCTGCAAAGAAAAGTATATTCAGTCACAATTCGGCAGATTATACATTGTAGTTTTTTAAATCTCAGTAGTAGCATGGAGTCTGCAAATGTGCCCGGTATATGGCAATAGGCTCACCCCCTATTACATGGGACTCATAACATATATAGATAGTAAAAAGTGGGTGTTACATTGCACAGTGGCATTAAGTGCCGTAATGTGCACTGATGCCTACCCGTTCGGGGATAAAACGCGTGATGTTATGTTATGTATAAATAGTAAGGAATTAATAAATTTGGTTTTGATTTTAGTCAACAATTTGAAATAATATTATAACTTTTACACTCAACAAAGAATAGTTTAAAAATATCTGTTGATGATAATACTAGGCTATTATGGATACAATACAATGCTACAACAATAAACATATAACAATTGTTGATGATACAACGTGGCAATGCTGCCAGCCTTCTGGGTACTTTCCCCACTGACGGCGATGCGGACGAATTTTTCGATGCTTTATGTAAATAGTTGTTTTTGTTTTTCTTTTAAATAATTGTAATCTTAAGTTGTATATATTTAATTTAGTAATAGTTAGTTTTAATTTTATTTAAGTTTTTATATGAATAAATGATAAATTATTATGGGTATAATTATGTCACGCATTCACACCTTGAAACATAACAATCTATACCTATCAATCAATCAATCAATCAATCATTTATTTATTTAAGACATCAATGGTCCACTGTGTTAGTAACAAAATCAAAAATCAAAAATACGAAACATCTTTACAAAAATATGTTAGTAAGCACATTTAAACAGACAAAACAATACAGAAAACAAATACAAATTAAATACACACACGGAAAACAGACACATGCAGTATGTTGGTACTAAAACAGACATACTAAAGCACTCTCGGTGGTATATGCACTGAAATATGCCTGTCGCAGCAATTCCTAATTATGAGACAATCATGTCTCTGCGCTATCATTGCCAGGACATTGTTGGAACTAGCCCGTACTCTGCGCACGAGAGCGCCAGCTCGCTTACGCATAGTCGCATGAAAGCCGTCAGTGCGCGCCTCCATGAACATTCCCGACGCGCTACAACGACGGGATAGCCCCAACACTGCCCTGAACGCATTATTATATTGGACGCGGAGTGCACTGTAACAAGTTTGACTATAATCAGCCCATAAGCTGCACGAGTACAGTGAAGTACAGTACGCTTTAAAAAGCGCAACTTTTACCCCCCTCGAACATTGCGCAAACCTACGGGCGAGCATATTTGCTCTAACAGACAATGCCCTACGCTCCCTTTCCATGTCAGCATGATCCCTAAGGTCCGTGGTGAGTATATGCCCCAGATATTTAAAACTGTCAACACGAGCAAGATGGATACCATTTAACTTAACCTGTGGCACACTACTCGGACATCTCGCCCCCACCGCCTCAAACACCATGTACTGACTCTTCTTAACATTGTATATTAAACCGTGGCCACCTGCATACTCCTCGCACGTCCGTATTAGCCGTCTCAAACCACACACCGAAGCACTCAGTAGCACCATGTCGTCCGCGTAACTTAGGTTGTTGACACACACACCATCAATGTGGCAGCCGACATGCTACTAAGCTCTGCTATCAGCCCGTTGATGTACAGGTTGAAGAGGGTTGGGGAAGTCAAACCACCCTGCCTCACTCCGCACTCGAGTCGATATGGATCCGACATTGCTCCCGCCCACCTAACACTATTGAGCTGGTGCTCATACCAATATTGAAAGATGTTAACAAATTGCTGAGGCAAATCTATGCTTTTCAGCTTGTCCCATAAAAGGTTATACCCTACAAGATCAAACGCCCTAGACAAATCGAGGAAGCATGCATACACAGGTGTTTTACGCTCGATATAGTATTTCACGGTGTGCTTTAAGCACAGTATAGCACTTTCAGTAGAAAGCCCAGGGCGAAACCCGAACTGGTTGTCATGTATTCTGATGTATTTATTTAATTGCGTGTTGAGCAAACCATCAAACACCTTTGCAATAATAGTGGCAAGAGAAATAGGCCTGTAGTTACTTTTATCAGAGAGATCACCCGTTTTATTTTTCACTATAGGCACTACCACTGTTTTCATGAAATCCGCGGGCAAATAGGAGTGGCTCACACATAGCGAGTAGAACATGGCCAAAACCCTAGAAACGTGAGGCCCAGCATACCGCAGGTGCTCAACGCTGAGCCCATCATGGCCCGGAGATTTACCTGTCGACATATTTCTTAGAGCCTTAGTCACATCTTTGGCCCGGTAAAGAGTAGCGCTAAGCGGAACCCTTAAGTTGTTCCGCTCAGCGCCACTGTCCACATCCCTCGGGTCTAACAAAGATTTCACAGTGAACTGATCTCTGAAAAGATTCGCTATCGCTACAGAATCACTTACGCCTTCGACGCTAACGGGAAGTCCAGATCGCGCATTAAATCTGCCTGTACTCTTCCAAAAACCGCGGAAATCTCCATTACTATGTTTTGCAGCAAGCGCATCCATTTTTATTTGGTCCTGGTGTTTTTGGCACCATTTTAATCGCGACTTAAATACCCTTCTGCTATCGCGCATTTCTTTGTATGAAATACCCGATTTTGGTCTACCACACATTATCCACATATTAAATTTAGCTCTAGCCTCCCCGTGAGCCTCGCCGACGCACGCGCTCCAGCCCGCCAAGCGGGAGCCACCCCCACAATTACGAGCACCCCCCCGGCCCGCCAAAGCGGCAGCATCACGAAGAGCAGTAACTATATCAGCATAAAGCTTATCCAGGACATGCCTGTGGCCACGGTCTCCACACAATTGGTCCGCACAGTTAGAACACTCAGATGGAAAGTCAATACATTTCAGTCTATTAGTGCACTCCCTAGTATATAAACATATTTGCTCATCTGTTTTCACACCCCATACAACATCTTTATTTACACTACTGACTTTAGTTGATGTTTTCGGGTTTATTAAATGTAGATGAATCTTAATTATAACAGGGAAATGGTCAGACCACCAAGTGTCATACTCGACATTAACACCAACAACAGCCTGCCTCGCCGCGCGAGTTGCAATGCAGTGATCAAGCCAGCTGCTGGTCCCATGCACATCACTAATAAAAGTATAGGTACCTGAGTCAAGCCCCAACATATCTACATCTATACAAAACCAGGATTGGTCTTCACAGATACTAACAAGCTCACTGTAAAACAACTCACCTGGGTTGGCGTTGAAGTCGCCCAACACAAACACAGATTCAACACCATACTCGTCCACAATAGCGCTTACCGCGCTTAAACAGTCCGTAAAATCCTGTAAGTTATCACTAGTGTTTGTTGGTAAATACACACTCATCACTATGACAGGTCTATCACCAGTAATAATTTTAATGGCACAAATACGAGGATTATTACACTGTATCACGGTCACCTGCCGAAATAAACTTTGTCTCCATAACAACGCCGTACCACCGTGAGGACGGCCACGAAGTATACCAGCAGAGGTATCCACCGCCGACGTTGCCGTGTACCCAAAGCCGCTATCGATTGTGCCGATATAGGGTACATCGTGCGGCATCAACCAGGTCTCTTGAAGACATACTACGTCGCACGAACGACACAGATTCCTGACGTCATCACAGGAGCGCTTTACATTTTTACAATTAAAAGTTGCAAAACGATATAGGCCACTATCCATTGTTGTATTTGTTTAAGCCGCCAGCGCCGATGAGATACTCACTATTCATCTTTCTATGTTTGAAATTTACAAACCGCCGAAATATTACACCGGCGGGCCACAGCGTCTCGTCCATATATTTTGAGAGATTGGCTTCTGATATTAAAAACTTATAAGCTTTGTGCCCCCGTTCTAATTTCATATTTATTTTCTCCAAGGACACTGTTTCCTGAGTCCGCTTATAAATATGTTTAATAATATCGCTTTCTAAGGTGGATATGTGCACATTCGTAATAAACATTGGTATTTTCTTATCAGCACCTCGGAATGTACAGTCTAAGTCTCTGGCGACACCCGATTTGCCTAGAAAACGATATCTCTCCGGTATTTTACGGGACTTCACTTTTTGCCAACCCTCATTTTCAGAGTTAATTGGTTTTACAGTTTCGCATACGTGCTCTGCCCGCTCTGATTCATTCCGCTCCGTTCTACATATATACATGTCTTTACAAGAAGCAACCGTCAGCTGTTTTGATATCTGTGAATCTGCAGGCGTCATAGCATCGCTAGTCAAAGAACCGGTTCGACTGGTCGCCTCTTGAATTAAAGGCAAAGGCAAGCCCCCATCACCCGCGCCGCGCTCACCCCCCGCACCCATTTGATGGTGTAACGGTGATCGCTGCCCCTCATTCAAATCACACATCAATGCTGGCATTTTATTTTCTTCTACCCTCAACTCTCTATATTGAGTCAAAGGCGATCCGGTCTTCGATGATTCCATATTTTGGTTCATGTCATGGAATGACTCATTATTTACAATATGACAATCATGAGATAGTCCTATAGGGCCACTGTCTAGCCCCGCACCGCGATTTATGTTAACTTTAAATGCTGATGCCGGCGGTAATGAATCATATTTTATTCGAAGGAGATCAGATTTTAATTCGTTTACAGCGTGTTGTGTAGCAAACGTTGACTTTATGCTTTCAATTTCTGCTTTTAGTATTTGAATATCCTTTAATAATTTCGAACAATCCAAGTGATCCATCAAAATCGGCGGTAGTTTCTCCAATTGTCTTGCAACAAATATTGGAATAATATCGGGTTCTGTGGATTTAAATAGATTAACTATATCTGCTATATCACGCTCCTCTTTTCCTTTGTTCTTTCGTAAAATTTTACGTTTGTCCGTTGGAATTGAATCAAATAACAGAGATTTCGACTTTTTGATTTCTTCACTTGAGAAAGCAGTTTTACAAATACGCACTAAGGTTTCTTCGTCTATAACCGACACTTTGTTTTGGATATACGACAACATCTCATCGATAATGATGTTACACACATTGCACTTCACAATATTCGTCATTTCTTTTTTTTTTTCTTTTTATTATTATATTTATTTATTTTTAATTACCCCGCTACGCAAACACGCCCGTCGCCATTGGGTGCGCGCGCGACTGTTGAATAATATACTATATATAAAAGAAAGTCGTGTTAGTTACACCACTTATAACTCAAGAACGGCAGAATAGATTTGGCTAAAAATTGGTAGGGAGTTAGCTTAGAGCCAGGAGACGGACATAGGATACTTTTTGACCAAATTTTTTTTTTTTTTTTTACCGAAAATCACGAACGGGGACGGCATAAAATGGGATTACGCGTACGAAGTCGCGGGCAGAAGCTAGTAATAAATAAAAACAGATCAATTTTTATAACTCTTTAAAGAGAGATATTAAATTGTAACAACAGATCGACATGTCATATCCGATATTAATCCTTCCGACACAGCCAACATTGACGGCTTGGTTGCGGTCCTACGAATGGTGTTATCGACAGATGTGAATATCAGTAACGCTATTGTAAAAGATTATACGTACTTTAAAATTGTTGGAGCGAAAACGAAATCGATTTTAACAGAATGAAATATTCTGGTGCGTGATGGATATGTTTTTAGTAAATAATCTACGTTTTTGTTATATTTTGGTTCATTAATTCTTGATTAATTTCATTAATGTTCTTATTAATTTCCCCAACTATCAATTGCGAAAATATTTAGTTACGTTGGCAATAAAGAAACCTCTTATTTTTAACTCAGTCCTGTATCAATTATTTTTTAAAACAAGTTGAGCTTAGATACCCATATATCCCCAAGCGGTCACCGGTAACCGCTCTCCACAAACTACATTGGTAAGAACAAATTTAGGGGATGATATTTCAGATATTTCAACGGATAATACCTAAAAACACTGTAAAATATTTATAATATACAGACTTATTAAAAGTAATGTATTTGGTACAATGACGAAGCCTTCATATAATTCTAGCAGTAATCTAGTTGTAAATAATACACCTTCAATCAAAAACTTACCTAAAATACTTGGCTGTGGTGCCCATTTTACCATGTGGACATTTTTAGGCACATTTTCTAGATCTCCATCAAACTTCCAAATGACTGTCTGTTTCAATTTTGAGAAGACGTCTAATAATTGTCTTTTCAGTTCCATGGGCAAAGTTTCACTCCTCACCATGGACCCCATACTGAAGTAGATAACTCCATCAGTGGCACTATCCATAATCTTTTGTAAGTCCTAGAATAGAAAAAGTAAAATAAACGTAAACCAAATGAAGAAATGTAAGTATATTAAGAAAATAAAGACAAGTAAGTTAAAACTAAATATTTTTAATAGACATTGAAACATAAGACATTGAATTTAAAGTTCTTTTGGTAAAATTTTACGTAGAGTTTTATAAAGCATTTCTGATTATAAACCGTCTATGGATTTATTTATGAGGTGTAACTTCAGTTCATGTTAATATTTCTATGGTTTAACAAGTGTTAATGGAGTAGTGTACCTTCGGCAATGGTGGGATCTCATCCTCTATATGATATCCTCCAATGGCAGCATAATTTGCTGGCAACCTCTGAGGATCACCTAATGAATAATGGGAGTTAGCCAACATCATAGAACTATTGTACTTTAGATCGTACAAGGCCGGTAAAGTGATTCCTCGTTTTGCTGCAGCAGCACCAAAGGAATCTCTGAATGCTTTTTCTTCTGTATCTCTTACAGACCTGGAAAACATACCAATTTCTTAATTTTGTTGCTATGGTAACATTGTTTTAGTATTGATCTTGTTCACAAGCTACTGAGAACTTAAATATCAGGACATTGATATTACTGTAATGAATACGGGACTAAGCACCTAGCTTCAACTAGCTCCACTGACAGACTGACTGGCAGACTATTATTTATTTTGTATTTATTAACGTTTCAAAAGTACCAAATTATGATTTAATTAAAATAAATGCTTTGACTGTGATTTTGACTTTCAACCAGAACCACACGGTTTGAGTGCACGGTTGACGCGGTGGCTGAACAACTGGCCTCCGCGGAACGTGTAGTGGTTCGTTTCCCGCATGGAGAAGCTCTTTGTTTTTTTGTGTCTGGGCGACAAATGTGTTACAAATATACAAGTTCACATAGAACTTGTATATTTGTAAACGCACCCAAGACACGAGAAAATATTAATATGAGGCAACGTTTAGAATGTTTTTTTATGAAATAAATCATGCATCATCATGTTATTATAACTTTCATTCGTTCTCTCGGTGCCTATGTAAAGTAGAATTCTCACTGCTACTATCGATTACCTCTTATTTTTTTATTCCTTGTTCTAAATTGAAAATTTGAACTTACCACAACACTCGGTACAGATAGATTAGGTTCCAAAGTTCACTGATACGCTCCATAAAAGTAAACGGTGGTGTGATCGGTGACATGTGATCGGGGAAGTAAGCCGGGTTGCCGACCTCATCAATCAAATCCAGGACAACTGGGTGAGGTTCCAATGACGACGACCATATGTATGGGCAGTTAAAGATAGTTGCGAATCTAGAATGTAATAAAAATACTTGTAATGAGAAGCATCCTTGTTCAAATCGAGCTATAATGGTCTGTTTTTTTTTATAGCATAAGCCGGTAAAAGAGCAGACGGATCACCTGATGGTAAAAGCAACCGGTGTCGACCATGGACACCTGGAACACCAGAGGCGTTACAAGTGCGTTACCGGCCTTGGAGTTTGAGGATCGTTGGGGATTCAGGAATTGGAGAGATTGGGGATTATTTTCTGCAAAGGTAAGCATAGATGTGGGCGGTTGGTTAGTAACCAGGAAATGTATTGCCAAACGTAGATACCAAGGTACTATTAGTTCTGCTTTTGAGAATTTTAGAACTGAAAACGTAACACTAAAATCTTGTGAATCAAACTTGATACTTTAAGCTCGTTAATCTTTATTGTTTGTTTGGAAGCAACCTGCACTTAGTGACTTCCTGGATAATGGTCTTTGATTACTAATAGAAAAACTGTTAAAGACAAATCTCCAATCCTCATATCTTTAAGGCCGGCATCGCACCTGTAACTTCTCTGGTGTTACGGGTGTCTATGGACGGCGCAATCGCTGACGATCGGGTAATCTGTCGACTCATTTACCTCCTATTCCATAAAAGATAGAAATCCTTAATACACCCAAAAGATCGCCAACGCACTTGTAACTCTCCTGGTGTTGTGGGTTTCCATGTGCGTCAATTACGAACCATCAGGTAATCCGTCTACTCATTTGCATATCCAATAAAAAACATTATACGCGACTGTCAAAAATGTGACAAGAAATCTTACCCAGCATACAAGTGATGGTACAGCCATTCAGCAATAACCAAATCGAATTTCTCATTGGGATCCATCATGAATTTCTGTACGTTCTCATGTGTGAGGGATCTGTTTGCAATTACCACCATAAGTTCATATATACCAAACATATCTTTGAAATCTACCTCATTTGACAGCATCTTCTTGAAATCTAATGATTGTGCTGAAAGCAAAATATCCTGCTATAGTACATAACATAACATATAACATCACGCCTTTTATCCCCGAAGGGGTAGACAGAGGTGCACGTTATGCCACTGTTCAATGTAACACCGACTTTTCACTATTTATGTCATGAGTCCCATGTAGGTAATAGGGGATGAGCCTATTGCCATACACCGGGCACAATTGCAGGCTCCGTGCTACTACTAATTTTTTTTTAAAACCCAGTAATACTTTTCCTGACCCGGGAATCGAACCCGAGAGCCCTCGCTCGGCAGTCGCACTTGTATTGCTATAGTATAGTATATACCTATACTATTATATAGTAAAATATTATAAATGTGATATTTGTGTGTATGTTTTTTACTCTTTTGCATCAAAGCGGCTGAAGGGATCGAGATAAAATTTGGAACGGGGGTAAATTATGGTCGGACACACAGACCACTTTTTAAACCATGGGAACGTGGTTGAAACCGTTGGCAAAAGCTTTATATATAAAAAGGTGTTACTGAATTTTATTTATAACATAACAGCCTTTTGTGGTATTTTTTTTTCTGTCAAACACCAAGCGGTCACCGGTGACCGCGACCTATTGTTCTTTAATTGTGTCTATAAAACCGGTACTCGACGAGTTAAGGGGGGAAAATCATCGAATGACTGCTCCCGCCTGGGTGAGGCGGAAGGGTGTGTCAGACTCTTACTGACTAAAAACCACCCCGTTCCTTCTCCTGCACGTCGAGCCGGAGCCCCGGTTACCAAAGTCAAAGTCAAAGTCAAAGTCAAAATCATTTATTTCAATTAGACCACTAAGGCACTTTTGAACGTCAATACAAAATATTTAAATATTAAATAATAAGAAAAAATTGTCAGTCTGTAGGTCAGTCCTCTAGTGAAGCTATTTGCTCGTTCCAAAGTGTAGATTCCTATGGAGAAGAACGAGCAAGAAACTCCATAGGTTACTCTTTTTCAATCATGTTCACAATACAATTTTTGGTTACATTCTTCCGTTGAGTTCAATAATGTGAGAACAATGTAATACCAATATTTGGTCAAGGAGACGGAAAAAGAAAATAACCTTGAGGACAACAAATTTAATACAGTCTGGAGCTGACCAGTCCCATTTGACAGCGCCCGTTCACGAACATGACACGTACACCAGCACCGCCAACTCGACCATGTTATAGGGAATCGAGCGATCCACTGCCCGTGCCACTGCCAATGAGACTTTTGAGTGAGCATGACAACTCCAAGCTGACACACATGCATTCTACTAGTCTAATTAATTTAGTTAGTTACAGGCTCTCACATTTACAATACTTATATAAAGTTTTACAGTGTACATTTGAACAAAATGGCTGTATTTGACATGATTGGAACCATTGGAACATCAATGTTTTTCGCTATCCTGTGGAGCCGGACCAGCATGCCTCCAAGCATTTTTATCCTCTATGTAATCATTAAGTTTGTAGTATGCTTTCCCACATAACGTTTTTTTAACATATAATTTAAATTTTGACTCATTTAAATGTAGTATTTCCTCCGGAATTTTATTATAGCATTTAACACAGAATCCCATAAAGGACTTTTGTACTTTTGTCAATCTAAATAGTGGCTGACTTAGTCTATCCCTATGTCTAGTTTGATAGTGGTGTCTGTCAGACACTTTACCAAACAACTGTAGGTTCTTCCTAACATACATAATGTTTTCATAAATAAATTGACATGGAACCGTCATAATATTGATCTCCTTAAACTTTTCTCTGAGAGATTCGCGACGACCTAGGTTGTAGATAGCTCTGACGGCGCGCTTTTGTAAGATAAAGATAGACTCAGTGTCCGCAGCGTGTCCCCACAGCAAAATGCCATACGACATGATGCTATGGAAGTAACTGAAGTACACTAGTCTTGCCGTGTCTATGTCGGTTAACTGTCGGATCTTCCAGACAGCATAAGCTGCAGAGCTTAATCGTCCCGCTAGAGATGTAATATGAGGACCCCATTGCAATTTGTCATCTACAGTAATTCCCAGAAATGTAGTCTCTTTTACAAATTCTAATTTCCGACTGTTTAATAATATGTCACATTCCTTACTTCCAACATTTGGCAGAACAAATCTAATACATTTCGTTTTCTTATCGTTTAGCACTAAGTTATTTATTGTAAACCAATGTTGAACCTTCATCAGAGCATTATTTACGTCGTCATAATTATTTGTTCGTCTATTTATTTTAAAAACCAATGATGTGTCATCAGCAAACAATACAATATGTGGTTCATTTTGAAATAAATATGGCAAATCATTTATATATGTTAAAAATAGGAATGGACCTAGTATTGAGCCCTGCGGTACGCCCATAGACATGCTAGCACCCTGTGAGTTTACTTTGTTTACCTGTACTTTAAGTTGCCTATCCTGAAGGTATGACTTTAACAGATTCAGCGATACACCCCGAATGCCGTAGTGTTCCAGCTTCAGCAATAGTGTCTCGTGTTCAACACAGTCGAATGCCTTCGAAAGATCGCAAAATATTCCGATGGCATCCTGTGCCTCTTCCCACGAGGCAAAAACCCGCTTAATTAGTGCTACCCCGGCATCAGTCGTGCAACGTCCCTTGGTGAACCCGTATTGTTGGTCATGAAATATAGTATTCATGTTAAAGTGACGCAGCATCTGAGTAAGCATCAATCTTTCAAACACTTTACTGAGCACTGGCAAGATAGAGACCGGCCTGTAGTTATTAGGTTCCGCACTATCACCGGATTTAAACAATGGCACTACTTTACTATGTTTCATTAAATCTGGAAAAATTCCTTGATCTACACTTTTATTAAAAATTAATGCCAAATGAGGCGCTATAGTCTCTATAAAAGACCTACACATCCTTACTGACATTCCCCAAAGATCTTCAGTCGACTTAACTTTAATATCTTTAAACGCTTTTATCACTGCTAGGGGGTTTGTATATTGAAATCGAAAATTTGTTGAACATTCCTCGACATTACTTTTAAGAAGATCGATAGATAGTGCTGGTGATGATTTCAACGCTTCCGTAGTTTTAAGCGGAATATTTTTAAAGAAATCCTCGAATTCCTGGGCAACTTTCGAATCTGCACTAATACGTCCATTTACAGTATTTAAATTAAATTCAGTGTTAGGAGATCTATTTCTACCTGTCTCGGTGTTAATTATGTTCCAGGTGGTTTTTATTTTGTTATTCGCGGTCCTAATTTTACTGCTAATGTACAGGGATTTAGCCTGCTTACAAACCCTTTTAAATATTTTCGAGTATCTAGATACATGACTGCGAAAATCATCACTATTATTAAATTGTTTCATACCATATAACTCAAATAACTTTTCCCTACTTATACGAATACCCGGTGTAGCCCAGTCACAGAATAGAAATTTACATTGAATGTTTTTACGTTTTAAAGGGAACATTTTATCGAATTGTGTTTTAACAATGGACAATAATTTGGCATAAATCTCACTAGAGTATTCACTAGCATGTATTTGGCCGCATAATTCATTTTTCAAGTTGTGGTTTAATGACTCAATTTTTTTATTTGTAATTTGCCTAAATAGAATTTTCCTTTTTTGTACAGTTGTGGTAGTGTTAAAACTGACTGTCAGGCCACTGTGATCAGATGGTAATCTGTTTACAATGTCTTTATTTATATAATTACAGTTACAAAAAATATTATCTATACATGTTGCCGAGGTGGATGTTATTCGGGTGGGCTCAAAGAAAACATTAGACAAGTCGAAAGATTTAAATAGACTTAACAAATTAATACTATTCGAGTTGTTCTCCAAGAGATCAACATTAAAATCGCCACATACTATGGTTAACTTACTATTGGAACACGTTTTCCGCAGTACATCCTCCAACACTGAGCTAAAAATATTTAGGTTTTGTAAAATAGGAGGTCTATAAACACATACTACAATATGCCTATCCAGCTCAACACAGGACAACTCTATTGTGTGCTCTATCGATAGTGATGCAATGTCTTGCCTTTCCTTATATTTCATTGAATTCTTTACCAAAATCAGACTGCCACCATGTATCATGGTTTGACGGCTATAATAATTACCAACACAATAGTTTTCAAGATTAATAGATTTTACTTGATAGTCCTTCAGCCAATGTTCAGTTACACAAACAAGATCATATTTAAATTTTTCTAAAAATAATTCAATTTCTAAAACTTTAGATGAGAAGCCCTGCATATTTTGACTAAACAATGTTAACACAGAGTCTTGTCTATTCTTATGTATAGCTAATAAAGCTGCAGACTTAAATATACCGCCAGAAGATAACTTATCAATGCATGAAACTTTTGTGTAATTTACTTGGTTATCTTCTGTTGTCTCAGACATTAGTTTAAAAAGTTAGCCGGAGTACTACCCACATTTATAGTCAAATTATGAGTCTCCTTTGTAAAATCATTTATACAATTAATCTCTATATTATTAGATTGTCTAGATAATATAGATTTGTCACTTAAACTACTTAAAACTAAATTAATACTATTTGCTAGCAAACTAGCAAGTAAAACTTTACATTTCTTAGGAATAAACATGTATTCCTTAGTCAATTTAAAACCACTAACAAATTTGTTAGTGTCAAAAAATATTAATTTGTCTTTATGACAACATGTCAGCATAAATATTAAATTATTCAGATAGTGAATATGTTTATTTTGTGATTCTGACAAAGTGTCAGAATATGGGAAAGCACATAATATCACCCTGATATCTAATTTCAATAAGGTGCTGATACCATCCACTATGTCACGCTTTTTTACTCTAGTACTATCTCCCATCAATAATACTACTGGCTGGTTTGCTGTGATACATTGTTTTTGTATTTTTTGTATCATCGGGCCAAATTTTATATTATGAAAACAGTTGTTAGTTACACTATCGTTGAGGCAATTTGAGATAAGTGACCCCATACCTGCTCCTATTGAGTCAGTGAACACACTAGCATTGTTGTTTACATTTGGTGGTATAGATATATTATGCTCCAGCTCCGGAGGTATGGTGTGGGTACAGCTACAAGCAAGGTTATTTGCTAGAGACTCGTATCTCTCAGCACTATAAGTAACTAGGTCTACTAGCTTACCCGCCTCAATCATGTGTTTATTGATTTCAGATTGAGCGGATTCATATTTTTGGAATATCTGATTTAAAAACATTTCTCTTTCCAAGAGCTCTTTTCGCAGAGCTTGAGTGTCCAATTCATAAATGGCCCTACTTTGTTCTAATTCACTAGAGCAAGAATTTAATTCACTAATTAATTTAACTTTTTGTTTTCTTAACTTTAAATTTAAATTTAAAAGATTTTGCCTCTTTTTAATTTTCTTAATTGTTTTATTTAACTTAATATATTTTTTAATTTTGTTATGACTACTTAATAAGCGACATGCTGTGATGGTATCATCACCAGTCAAGTCTATTGTAACGGCTGGCTCACACACATCACCAGATCCACTCCCAACCAACTCATCGTATAGACTCCGAGTGTTCACTAATTGCACAGATTGTTTCGCAGCCTCTAGTCTACGTATAGTACTGTGGGCCTCTCTCAGCTTATGCTCTAGTTGTGTTATTTGTGCTAGAGCATGTTCATGAGTGTCGCTACACTGCTGGAAGGTAGCAACTTGACTAATTAATTGACTATGTTGTTGTAGTAGATCTGTGTGACACATATGTAGTTCAGCTAATTCATTTTTAAGTTTACTGTTTTTGTTTATAATGTTTGTCACTTCCACTTCACTATCGTCCCGTTCCTGCAGCAGTTGGTTGCACAGGTGCTTTGACGACTCCAGCTCCTTCAGCGCTGCTCTTAGTTTGCATTCCATTTCCTTAGATCTCGTCATCATACTGACAGGGATGAAATACTCTGAAATAGAAGAAAAAAAAAAGAACAGCAAAAAGACAGGGAAGATGATTTGAAGCGAGGGAAATTGGTGTAATAATGTATAAGAAAACAAAAGGGAAAATGATAGTTTAAATTTAAATTATTAAGTATGTATGATGATGAATTTAATAATTTATTAATAATGTAGGTAGGAGGTAGGTGCAAACAAAGGAACTACAATAATTTAAATTTTCGTTACTTAGGCTAAAAAATCGTCATTAAATTAGGCTTATTGACATAGTTTACACTACTAGCTAGTCTATCTTATATTAAAGTAACAAACTTAGTAAAGGTTTTTGTAAAATCTCTTTGTTTGTGGTAGAAGTTGTTGTCGTCGCGTTCGACAAATTGTCACGCAAACTGAGCACAGATCTTTATGATTACGGTGTTTTTATTGGTGTATAAGGATATATAACAAGAATTATTACTTATACTCCCCTGGTTTAAAGATTTAAATTCAATTTTTGCTTCGTCCGTTGACCGTTGACAGCTCGCAGGAACTTTTCAATTTTGTGGATGTAATTTTAACAATATCACTAGGCAAACACTATCTATAGTACTTTTACACGTAATTTAACATATTTTTACGTATTTAAAGCTATAATATTACTTAAAACTAATTTTAAAATTAAATTTATTCACAGTGTCGATTTTTGACAACCGGCTACCAGTGTTGCCAAGTGTTGCCCGTTACCCGTTACCCGTTAGGTTCTCCACGACTCCTAATCGGCATCGGCCCTATTGGGCCCCATCTGTGGTGGTCTGATAGCTCTTTGGCCTTTTGTGGTATGAGTGTTATATAAAAGTCGTGACACTGCTTTTTTGATGGTGGATAATCATTCAATAGTTTCTCTCGCCTTGGGTGACACGAGATGAAGTGTAGGACATTTACAGACTAAAATCAGTCCGTTCCTAGTTTTGATCCTAGTCGGAGCCCTGGCAACCGCTGAGCATCTCAGACATATTTCAAGACTGCGTAAAAATACCAATAATTTCTGAACACCTAAAACCCTATAAATAATGGTATGGTGCAACGTGTCGCGGGTTCGATTCCTGCACGGAACAACACTTCGTGTGATCCACAAATTGTTGTTTCGGGTCTTTGTGTCATTATGTTTGTGAACTTGTATGTTTGTAAACGGACCCACGACACATGAGAAAATCCTAGTGTGGAGCAACGTTATTAAACAAAACATGGTTTGGCTGCCACGGAGATTGAAACTGATAACCTTATCCTTGCTAATAACGTATAACCTTAGTTAACCTGATGGTTGAATAAAGCAGTCATATTATGAGTCCAATTCACGCATATACAGAAAAAAGTACACATTAGAAGACTATAATTGCTAATCAGGATAAGATAATAATATCGATATATGCATTGGTAGGTAGATATTTGTATTCACAATCATAACATTAATGTATTTATCTCTAAGTGGTATGTGCCAATCACATTGCATAATCGTTACGATTATATGTCTCATTTTTAGCTATATATTTTGTGGAAATTGATATAATAATGTACTAGTATAATTTCTTCTCTAATGGTTGTGGATTTGTATACAATAGACTGTATTATTACCCTCCAATTCCTAAATCCCCCACGATCCTAATCCCTAAAAGGCCGGTAGCATACTTGCAACGCCTCCAGTGTTTCAGGAGTCCATGGGCGACGCCGATTGCTTACCATCAGGTGATCCGTATGCTCATTTACCGGCTAATGCCATAAAAAAATCGACTATACTGACAAGAGTCAATATTATACAGTACAGTAGTTTATATATTATACAAGGAGCTATTCTTGTATATTAAGAATGTGTGATAATATAACTGCCGTTCTATTCTATAACATTGTCCAGGAGACAGGCGTCACATTTATAACGTTGTTTAAAATTACACGAAATTATATTTTGTCAAGGACGTTGAAAAAAGGCAATCGTAATGTCCCTTAGAAATGATTGAAGCATCAACATTTTAGTGGTCTATTTATATGTGTGTGAACTTGCGACACAGTAATGTATGAAGTGTAATGACGGGCCATGTGACGCGACAGATGTCCTTGATGTCAATGTGTGAGCATTCTGCGTGCTATAGTAGCCAGGTGCCATCGCCGTTGTTTTAAGAGACTATGTCCGCCTTGTATTTTGTGTTACCTAAATAATGAGAATCAAACTACATTAAGTGACTTATTAGGTATACTACTAAATTGAGCCTCTTTAAATATTATTTCCTACTTTAAATGACAGGTACTGTCCTTGAAAGTAGTGAAGCCTTTTTTATTCTGAAGGAACCAATTGACATGGCCAAATTGTCATTGAGAGCATTCAAAATATTTATAGATAACTAAATTTTAACAGACCAAAGCAAGTGCGTATTTTGTATTTTATTACTTTCTAGCAAATAGGGCCTGCGGACGGCGAGCACGGGTGACTCGCCACCCGATCAGATCCAGACCTGAGCGTACGCGTCGCGTTACGCACGCGCCTCAAGGAGCCATCCGACCACCACAGATGGGACCTAATAGGACTCATGCCGATACGGAACCGCGGGGGGCTTAACGGGTTGCCCGGGCTCTGGTTCCAAGTGCAAAAGTATGAACGGGGTGATTTTTAGTCAGTAAGAGTTTGACACTCCTTCTCGCCTCACCCGGACGAGAGAAAGAGAGAGAGAAGACATTGGATGATTTTCTCCCTCAGAAAAAAAAGCAAACAGTAAACATAGATACGTATTACTCACGAACACGTAATTTATTATGATAATAAGAGACGTGCATTGTTGACTAAAGTTTTTTTCAAATGGGGTAAATCTTTTTAAACAGCATTTGATATGTGAGTTCAATGTTCGTACTTACCAAACTCGAATTTATCGATGACTGATGCTATCACAACTTGTTTAAGATTCGGGTGAGGTTTTTTGTATGGATGTGCAGTAATGTAAGTGACCTGGAAGAAAATGTAGATTTTTAACATTAGATAACATTCGATAAGTTAGTGTGTAGTGTATTTTTCTCAGGAAAAAAAAAAACGAATGATTAGAATTAATGAAAGAATGTAAAGGAAAATCTAGGAATTACTCAAAATAATGCTAACCACTGTTATCCATTCTCCAAAAATTTTAAAAATATAATCTACAACATATAAAAGTTGGTACAATATTAGTTTAAACGTTACACACAATCGCATTCTTTAATTCGATACTTTAACGACAGTACAAGAAAGACAGTCACAAATACGAACAAACTAGGAAATTCATACCCTTACCCCAAAAACTTACTATGACCCGAACCATATCATACCCAGAACAAACTTATACATTTTCATAACAAGAGACCTCGTCAAGTTATTCAGTGGAACGCATAGGAAATTATTCACAAGTGAAATTATACCTCAGAATGGAAAAGTTCCTCAAACGTCAGCAGAATACGAAATTACCGGAGTCACGGGGCAGGCCACTTCGTATTCATATACTATTTGTGGGGTCTTTACTTTTTTAGAATTTCCCTGTACCAAATACAACAAATTGATGGTTAAGGCCCAAGCTGTGCCTTTGGGCAGTGGCATTATAAGTTGTTTTGGACCTTTCGGATGGCCCCAACCTTGAATTTGAGGTTGGAAAAGCGTTGAATGAATTTTGGATGCTCCCAAAGTGGTGTTGGATAAAATATTTAATAGGGAAGTTTTAACTTTTGGGCCAGACTCATTTATTAAACGTTAATGTTATTTTATGTTGTGAACAAATAAAGAAATCGGGTGCGATTCCCGGGTCAGTCAAAGTATTTATATACATTTTTTTATTCACAGTAGTTGTATGGAGTCTGGAATTGTGCCCGGTATATGGCAATAGGCTCACCCCTATTACATGGGACTCATTACATAAATAGTAAGAAGTGGATGTTACATTGTGCAGCGGCATAATGTGCACCTCAGTCTGCCGATCCCTTCAGGGATAAAAGGCGTGATGTTATGATGATGATGATGACGAATAAAGAAACTGTTTGAGTGTTTAACCCTTTGAGTACCGTCATTATAGACACAATTAAAGAACAATAGGTTGCGGTCACCGGTGTCCTCGCGGTGTTTGACAGATTAATATACATTTTAATATTTTTACCGCTACATTCAAGCTATAAAATATAAAAAAAAAACATCAAGATAATTATATCATCCAAATCAATATTAATATTTGAAATACAAACTTGAGTTTTAAATTTTTAATTTCGAGTTTGACTACTTAACCCGTTCATTCAGTCGTTTTTTGATCCTTAGAAGCTAATTATAAAATCAAAATGGCGATAAAGTGAATCAAATGTCAAGGACACTCTCTGCTTTTAAGGAGCATAAATATTAAAACAGACTTGCAACGGAAAAGAGATAATAATCTTGAGTTGAAAAGACGTTAAACGCTCGTAAATATTAAATCATTTTCCACTTTAAACCGTAGTTGACAAATACCGCAAATGGTATATAACGACCATACTAGCACCTCTTTTATACCCGAAGTTGAGAAGTGGCCTGAATGTGAATGAACGTCAGCTAAGTTGTTAGTGGTAGCGCTTGACCAAACTTGAATATCACATGAGCTCAAACTTACGTTTTGACTGCGAACTAAATTTAAAACAGGTGAGTCTGACTGTAGACCTAAATAGCAAACGATTTGGTTGAAGCGGTTGTGTCGTTAGATATTCATGAAGACCAATGTTTGTTCTGAGATAGTGGTTCAAATATGCGATTGTGGTTGCTATGCGAACGGAATACGGTTGTTATTATCTTATCATGTATTTAGTTTTTTTATAAAATACATAGGGTTTAAATGTAGGATGTAGGCTTCCTGAATTCTTTTTAAAGTAAAATCACTATCGTTAAGCACAAAGTATTTACCTAAATTAAGTAAAATCGCGGATTACTCACGTGAATATACTGAGAAAAGCTCTACTAGTTTCGAAGCACAGAGGAGTTCTTCCTCATGATGAAGTATATTCACATGAGTAACCCGCGATTTTACTTAATTTAGTATGTCTCACGATAGTTATTATAAAAATTACTAACTATTTACCTACTTTGACATAGTAAAAATACACGCTATAATTGTTACAATACATTTGGAAGTTACGTAGCAACAATTATGTATTGTGTAGCTGCATTTAAACTGTCAAACACCGAGCGGTCACCGGTGACCGCAACCTATTGTTCTTTAATTGTGTCTATAAATACGGTACTCGACGAGTTAAATAACAAGCATAGAAGTATTTTTACTCCGTGTCTTTACTCTAATTATTTTAAACCTAACGACTTCCTGATCAGCTAGTCCAAAAATTGTATCTAGCTCTGCTCTATTCCCTGTCTTTGACCTATGTTCATCAATGATATTATTATTAATACCTAAGATGATGAAGATTTTGGTATATCTATGTTGATATAAAATCAAATGTTGATGATGATGATTATAAATGATATTTATAAAAACTAACCTCATGACCGGCTTCCAATAAATGTCTTACATATCCTTCTCCTAAAATAGAATGAGATTTCCCCGGGTAGGGAAACGCCACGAGTATTTTGTATGCACAAACATTGCTTAGAAATACTAAGCCTAATATTATTAAAGTCCATTTATTCATTTTATTATTTTAACACCGAACCATGTACTGGACGATTGGACGCGCACTGAACTACTGAGTGTTTTATAAATTATACCGTTTATCTATTACGTTACAAAGGAGCACGGTTGTGAAGCGCCAAGTCGGGTATGTAGATGTTTTTTATTTTGTTTAACATATATTATGTGAAATTATTTAACTAGTTAACGGCCGACCCATTGCATAATTTTATAGAAAAGTATGACATGTATTTAAATTACTGTTAGAAATAACAAATTACCGTTTTTATAGTTAGAGAGTTAAGTACTCAAAATGTATATAATTATACCTCCTTCGTCTATCCGTCGAATTGTCACCAATTGTAATGGTTTATGAGATAGGTAGCTTAGCTATTATTAGAATATTACCTTTATCAATATTTTCTTTATAACAACAGTTGGACATAATAACATAAATATGTACTAACAATACAATAAATTAAATAATTTTTAGTCTATCTCCGGGAGTTTTGTTGTATTAAACTTGATTTAAAATCTATCGTGAGCTTATTAGACTCATACATATCCAGTTTTTTTAATGATCTGTTAGTATGTTGATCGACAGAAAACCATGGTACCTAATAAAAAGCGAACCCACAAATAATACAAAATTATAATTTCTTTGTCTTACTGTCTTCAATATAAGTACAAAATAAAATATTCTTGCTCATAACAAGTTGTAAAAATTTTTGCGTTAAAGTTAGCATTTATTAATTAATTGTGCACAAACATTATTTGTAAAATAAATTACTGTTACACTTGGCAAATTTTTCTAAACGTGTTTTGCTGATAATATCATGACATAATTTTTTTTATCATTTAAGACCTATTTTTGTGTTCCAAACATTAATCCGATAATCAAATAGGAAATATGGCTGTTACCTGGGAGTAAGTTATTTGGGAGTTTTGAAAATCGACGATTTTGTAGATTTTGATGTGCTCTTTTCGTTTTGCATTTCACACCTTTGTGCGTGCACCAGTAGCGCATTTTGCGAAAAAAAATAATTTCCAAACGGCGTGAAAATAGAGAAAGTGGAGCATTTTTTTTTAATAGGTAGTCTTTTAAAGTTCTAATGCTTATATGATAGCGGTACACACTTTAGAAACTTAAGCCACAATCTTTAGCCCTTAGCTGATTCTGATGAAACGCACTTAGGAGATTTCATCTTGAACTTCTATCAATATGTTATAGTCGTCGTTTTTTGAACAAAAATGCTTGTAATGAATCTGAAGAAGTGCATCGCAAAAAAAAACCGGGCAAAATGTTTGTTTGCGATTCGTTCGGTACTCAATGGTCCATTAAAATGCCAGCGAATGTAGGTAAGTTGGGCCCTGCGTTAATATATCGCCAATCTGGTCAATCTGATCCATCTAGGGCACCCTCTACCGACAGCTCCATTCATATCCGCTCTGCATATGCAGAGCGTAACATACAGCGCAAAATAGAGTAACGAAACTAATATTAGTTTCGTTACTCTATTTTCATTGAAATTATATTCGATTTCATATTATTGTGAAAGATACATTCAATATCTAATCAATGTTCATCGAATCTTTCTAATCCTCTTTAACGGCATTATACGTAATGTTGACTAAACACATAGATATTACAAAATAAGATTCATAACAGAAAAATAGATAAAGATTATTAGTTATTTTCCTGTAGATAAGAAATGTGTGGTCGCTACGGGGACTATCTATTTTTAATCTGCAAGTTGCAAAATATACACGTTGTACAATTTCATTAAATCAATTCATCGTACATTCTTTTTTTACTTGACTTCTTGTCACTTTTTACTCAACTGAAATCAAGCTAATACTATTTATAGTCAAAGTCAAATATTTTATTTCAATTAGACCATTACGGTATAAAGGCTCTTTGGGACGTCAAAAACTAAACGATCCTACAACTGATCCCAAGCATCTCGTTTTCGGTTTCCGGTGCCAGAATTTCAGTTTAAAATGTACCTATCAAATATCCATAGCATAAATTACTATAAATAAATAGATTAAAAATTATCTTTATCTTGATATTATTAATAATATTTCAATGTTCACTACTCCTATGTACAAAAGGGTTACGATGTTCATTTTCTTAATATATTATTCGGCAGCCAATTAAAACGAACAAAACTACTGACATCTCAACACTTTCACTCCAATGACTCAATTCTCAACACTGATATTTCCTTCCAGCCTGCAATCCAGTAACAACACAAATCCATGTAAAACTTTTCGAGTAAATAACATTTTCAAAATACTGGGGACACTGCAGGGTAGGCGGCGAATCGTGAATTTATAGCATATGCATCGGTGGCAATATACTGCGCCCGTGCAATCTGATATTGTCCTGCAATGCGACTTACGTGCCTACCGACTTGTTTATAACGTCATCCGATTTATGAAATCAGTTGAATTAACTTTAATATTGTTGGCGTTCCTGTTTCAGAGTACAGTTTTGGGTATCGGAAAAATAAATTCTTATAAAGGATTTAAAATTACGTTTAACAATCTTATTTGAACGAGTATTTACCGTTCGTTGGCCGAGTGATCGCAATTAGTCTACTTATATATTAACAAATAGGACGAAATAAAATGAAGAAAAAAATACATATAGGTACGATCTTCTTTTAAATCTATTTCAGAAACATAAAATAATTTCGAATTAAAGGTATTCAAAATTATAGTTTAAAATGACACCTCGAAACAATATTCGTCTTTAAAATACAGCAACTTACGTTGATATTACAACGAATTTTTATACGAGAACAAAATTTATTCCATCGTTATAACCCAGCTAATGCGTTTAGTATTTCAAAAAGATGCTCATGCCACTTAGTGCATGGCATTTACATTTGATGTTTTGCAAGCTGAACACGTGCGAAAAGTTCGGAGAAAATTAACGAAAAGGTAATAAAGTCATAAGGCACTACTGAATTCTCCTTTTGTCCTACGTGAGAAGCGAACCTAACTAGCGCTATGCGACAAAACTAAAAAGGTATTTTGGAATATCTACATTTGTCTTTAAATGTATTTCTATTGATTACAAAAGAAAACGTACATATTTTTACGACTAGATACTACTAGATTCTTACATATGCGTACAGTATTGAAATATGTATCAGAGACATTGTAGAACATACTTTTTTAAAAAGAGTAACAAATGGAGTTTCTTGCTTGTTCTTCTCCATTCGAATCTACTTTTTGGAATGAACACCTAGCTTCACCTAGTTTCACTGACGGACTGACTGACAGACTATTATTTATTTTGTATTTGTTGACGTTTCAAAAGTACCAAACTATGGTTTAATTGAAATAAATGCTTTGACTTTGACAAATTGATAATAAAAATCTTACTGAATATTTAAAGCAAGTAAATGTTAGTTAAACAGTAAAAAGAAACTCATACCACTATAATAATCATATAAGCCTCACTGACAGTACACGAGGCAACATTTTAGGTAAATTATATCAAAGAACATGCTCATTAGACAGATTTTACTGTTAGGAGTATTAATATTGTTGAGAATAGTTAGACGCCTAAGTTATTACGGGAATTATGTAAAGAAATACGTTGACTTTAATGTTACAGAGCTTGTCACTATAGAGGCAAGTCTACTAACTACATCAAAATATTGTGGGTGATTTACTTTTGTAAAACAAATGTGTAGCAGGTTTCTCTAGAAGCGGTGGTATGACTGGTTTAAACTGTCTAAAAACCGGTACTCGACGAGTTAACTCGTCCGACGAGTTAACTCGTCGAGTACCGGTTTTTTAGACACAATTAAAGAACAATAGGTCGCGGTCACCGGTGACCGCTTGGTGTTTGACAGTTTTGTTAAAATTAAAAAAAAAAAAAAAATGTAATTTGAATTTCGCGCCTTATGACGCCAACTCACGCTTGGCTACTTGTAATATTTTTCTATCTCCCGCCTTTTTCTTTTCTAATGTCAATGTCTGTTAAAACATCGTAACGAGTACCGGTATAATAAAGATTTATTGTAATTAAACCAGTGAATACGCCTTTAATTTAACAGGTTATGGGCCCAGTAAAGCCCGGAAATAAAATCAGTGCAAAAACTCAGTGAAAAAGTGTTAATAAGACATTTTAAAAGTTTACACAAACATCAACCACGCAAAACTTTTTCTTGAACTTTTACTAAGTGCTTTCGTATTTGGACTAAGTGAAAAACGTTAAAATGGCATCCAGTAATCAAATGGCATTAATAAAAAGTTAACCGGCCGCGAAAATTACGCAACTTGGCGATTTGCAATGAAAAATTATTTGCAACACGAGGAGTTGTGGGACTGCATTGAAAACGTTGAAGGCTCAGTAATAGATAAGAAACGAGACACAAAGGCCAAAACAAAGTTAATTTTGCTGGTTGACCCAATTAACTACGTACATATACAGGAGGCAATCACTGCAAAGGAAGTGTGGGACAAGTTGTCAGCTGCCTTCGACGACTCCGGGCTGACACGCCGAGTTGGTTTATTACGTGATCTGTGCAATACTTCGTTAACAGGATGTGAAAACATTGAAGAATATGTGGGCAAGATTATGAACACTGCCCATAAGCTCCGCAACATAGGGTTCAAGGTAGACGATGAATGGTTAGGAACACTACTACTCTCCGGTCTGCCTGAGTCTTATCAGCCAATGATAATAGCTATTGAAAGCTCGGGAATGAAGATAACTTCAGACTCTGTCAAAGCAAAATTGTTACAAGATGTTAGACAAACTGTGAGTAATTCTACAGCATTTGCAGCTAACAAGAAATTTCATAAACTAATAAAAAACAATCTAAAGGACCCAGGTGCTTCAGTTGTAATAAGTATGGTCATAAAAGTTCAGAATGCAAATCCAAAACCAAAGACACGCATCAAAAGTCATCAAGTTCATCTTATGCTGCAGTGTTTGTTGCTACATCAACACAACATGATGCCTGGTATGTGGATTCTGGTGCAACCTCTCACATGACT